CCAGGGCCTCAGTTTTCATTTTAAAAATTAAGATAATACTGTAATCAACTTCACGAAGTTGTTATGAGGATAAAATGAGACAGAACGTTAAGTGCCCTCTCTGCAGTAGTAAAGATGAGCTCGCTGCAGCTTCTCCACCCCTCCCTGCCCAGCCAGGCCCTCTCCCAAGCCCCTCTCTCTGCAGAGCCTTCCCCATTACCCAGGCCAGAGCAATCCTCTTCCTCTAACCATCCCACTGCCAGCACTTCTGGCTCTCATATGGGACTGAACTTACACCTTACGGAGCTCACTACCTTTTCATGGACAGGTGTCCCAAATCCTTGACATAGCTTATAAGGTAAGGTGACCATATACAGTCACGCCTCAGTGCTCATCAGCTTCAGAACTTGCCAAACCTTGTACTGGTTGCATTTTGACAAGAAAAAAAATGTTTCAGTACTCTGAGCTTGCATGGGGCTCGTCACACTTGCTAGAACTTGTACAAGTCATGATGCCACCTGGCAAGAGAAAACGCTTCCTCATTCGGCACTTGTCATGAGTTCTGGAACAAATTAACGAGTACCGAGGTACCACCGTATTTTGCTGTCCAAACAAGGACCCTTTGAGAAGTAAAAGAGGTTGCAATTAATGATTATGTCAGAATAAACTAAGGCTATCCTGAGCAAAGCAGGTGTATGGCTGCCCAACTTAGAAAGCAACATTCTCCTCATTTAGGAAAAACATGTGCAACTCTTTACCCTCACCCCACCTCCCACCAGCTCAAAGCACAAGCCAACCAGCCTTAGTTTTCTGACCATCAGGGGAAGAGTTCAGAATAAATATAGCTATACTTAGAGCATGAGGAAACCTAAGCTGCCAATGGAAGAAATACAATCTGAGAGCCACAAGTAAATATAAACTTTTTTTCTTAAAAACAAACAGCCCTGGCCGGGTGGCTCATTTGGCTGGAGCGTTGTTGGGTACACCAAAAGTCTATGGGTTCAGTTCCTGATCAGGGCACATACGTAGGTTGTGGGTTCGATCCCCAGTCGGGGCATGTACGGAGGCAACCAATTGATGTTTCTCTCTTATACCAATGTTTCTCTCTCACATCTCTCTGTCTCTCAATAAGCATATCCTTGGGTAAGGATTAAAAACAACAACGACAAATGACCCACTACTTGAAGTGACTATACCCTGACATTCTTTATGGTCTCAGTAGGGCGAGAGGGGACGGGTTTCAGGGCTGGCAAAGCAAACCACTTCCCTTCTAAAGCTGAATATGGTCTGATACCTACACTACCAAACGGTTAATGAAGGGGAGAGAGAGAGAGAGAGAGAGAAAGAGAGAGAGAGAGAGAGAAAAGGAGACAAGGAGCCAGAGACAGAGAAGCCCTCCCAGCAGATGCCAAAACAGTTAAGTTTCTAGGGAGAGCCAGCCACTCCTGGCTCCTACCTCATGCCTGACAGGCGCAGACAACACAGATTATCCAAAGACTGATGGACAAACACCTAACCTTGAGTGCGGCCCCGCCATTAAGCAAAAAATTTTCCCCACTTGGGATAAGTGAAGATTTCTTTTACATGAAACATCCTACTATCACTGCAGCAGAGACTGTAAAAAATTCCTATGGTATCTAATGCTAACAATATGGTATCAACAAGAGAGCTGTCTGGGTTACCAGCCATTTCTAGATTGTGTAAAAGTCAAGCATTCACAATTCCCTGAAAGGTTAACAGAAACACTCAAACTGAACAGTGTCTTTAAATCATACTTTACACAAGAAACAAGTGTGGCCTCTGGGGAATTAGATGGGGAGAAGAAAAAAGACATCTTTTTCATTTCATATCTTTCTTGTATCAAATTTTTTTCACCATCTATATCTACAACCTCTACAATGAAAAGCAATCTAAATCACCGGTGTCCACCTGTGCGTCCTGCCACCCGTTCACCCACTAACGTTCCTAGAGTCTAATTCTCTCACTCCTCCTGGACCTGGCTAGGCTGCACGATGACGAGAGCGCTAACGTACGAGCTCACCTTCACAGGTTCACAAGTTTGAAAAAATTAAGATCTAGATCTTTCTTCTGGGGGGATGAATTCAGGGAGAGAAAAGTCAGGAGACTGGCAATGTTAGAAAAATCCAGTGTTTTCAGCTTCACACTGCTGTAGAAGACACACTGTGAACCTGAAAGGGGGCAGTGCTCTGGAGGGTACATGCTGTAGGATAGGTGCATGCTGTGAAATGATGCTTGAGGAGGTTTCAATTCTCAGTGCTCTTTACCAAATGATGGGAAAGAGACCATTCATTTGGGTTATTGCTGGGGACAGGAGGGGGAAATCCAACTGCTTAGCACTTGGAACAGTACCACAAAGCCTCTATCTTAGTCCTTTAATAAGTTCCCGGTGGTGGAAATTGGAGGTAACCAACATGAATTGGTTCCAAATGGCCTTGTGCATTAAACACAACTTTTCCAAAATTTTTATTTCACAATTAGTGTTAAAATTGAACATCACCCCTGTTCTTCAGGTGAGGACATTAATTCATGCCAGCCGCTGAGTCTACAGGAGTAATCAGTTGACTTTTAGTATTTGTTAAAGACCAGAATCTATCGCTCAGGGGTATTTTCAGAGTTTAAGGTACTTATAAAAGGAAGGCTCAGTCAACCATTTGTCTAGGTTTCTACAGGGGCAGAGCAGTGTAGCTTCAAGCAGGGGGCCAGGTGGCCTCCTGGAGCCTCTCTCCGGACAGCTTTTGCTGCTAACTGGGGATAGCAGCCTAATGCTGCACGGCTGGGAGATTCCAACTGGCTCAGAGAGTACCAAAAATAAGCCACAAAGCATTCAAGAGTCATGCTTATAGTTTTGATTCCAAACACACTACTTATCTTCCAGGCGGTTTTTTATTTTTAATGTAATCTCTGTTCCTAAGGCCAAGGAAGAAAACCGGCGGCAAAGGAATGGAGATGGCAGGTCTACAGATGTATTGTGTATGTTTAACTTGAAAACAAATTCAAAGGAAAACACCACGACTACCTCCAATCTAGGACGAGTCAGGAGCGCCAGACAGAAACCGCCGTTCAGAGGCAATAAAACTGCGAGCACAGGTTTCCTCGGAACCCCGGGGTTCACCTGGAGGCCAGTGGGCCAAGGAGGCCTTGTGAGCGGAGAAGTTAAAGAGGGGCGGCGGCGGGTAGGGGGTGGAGAATATACGTCGCGGGGCACCCCTGGAGGGGGCATAGCCCTGAACCTTTTGACGGAAGTAACCCAGGCGACAGCGAGCAGAGGCTCGGAGGCAGGACCCAGACCCATGAATCCTCCGCCCGGCTCTCCGGCAGACCCTGAAAGTAGGGGGCCAAAAACCTGGAGACTGAGCGGCATTCCCACGCTGAAGACTAGGCTCTCGTTCCCCACGCCTCAGGCCCCAAGCCTGACAGATTCCAAGCCCCCACCCTTCAATTCCCTGTTCCTTCCACACAGACCCCCCCCCCCCATCCCATATCTTCGTCCTTCCTGGACCCCATGCTTCATTCCTTACGATCACAGATAGGGGTCCGTTACCTGCAGAGCAGCTCGACAACCCTGCAGGTAGTCCTCCATGGTGCAGCCCAACGTGTGCGACCGCCCCTCGCCGTGAAGCGGTTACCCAGCGAATGAGCCCCGCCCCGGACTCAGGGGCTAGTGGTGAGAGTCAGGAGGCGGGACTCGAACCCGCCACAAGGCGATTCGGCCCAGACTCCGGCAGGAAGTGCGTAATTGGGCGCTCCCGGAGTCCGATGTCGCCCCGCCCCCAGAGGCGGAGGCGGAGTTCTACGCTCGGAGACTCTCGGGACACCTTTCCGACGGCGCCAAGTGGGACGTGGCGCAGAGCGTCTTGGGAAACGTAGTCCAGAAGCTCTGAAATGGCCCCAAAAATTGAGGGAAGGAGAATTTTCTGAAATCACTCAGTTGACACACAAACGTATATGTGTCACGGTAACCTACCTTTGTGGCATCTGAAATTCTTTCCTTTTCGAGTCAGGCTAAGTATAGCATCTTTCCATATATTACACCGAGTCTCTGGTTGACATCTTAAATTACACATAGCGCAAAACAACTCCTCTTCGACTTCCTTTCTCAAATTCGCCTCTTTAGCAAACTGACCCATTGCCACCAACTTTGTGATTGTCCATGTTATAAAAACATTTAGAATAATCTTTGGACCCTCTTCTTATTACCTACAATCTCTTACCAACTCCTGCTGCTTCTTTCGTTAAAACTCTGTGGCCTGTTTTTAATACAGCCTCGGAAATGTCTCCTCATTCTTTTCCTGAACTGTTGTAACCTGTATTCTTTTCTCTCTGTCTCCTTAATTGTTCCAACTGCCCCTTCAGCCTTCAGAGTTGCTTGAAGTTTCATCCTATGGCAGCCTTGTAAGCAGATTTTGGAGGGCCCTCCAGAATGCAGGGTGGGTCCTCACCTCTTTTAAGTGCCACCTTCCAGCCCCACATCAGTGCAGAGTGCTGCAAATAAATGTTCTTTCACCATCGAATGCTCCCTCCTTTGGCAATTCATCCCTTTATCTCCTGCCACCAGAATGACAACAGCTTTTCCTGTTCCCCAAGCTAGAAACCAAGGGGGAGGTGACTGATTATGCTGCAGCCTGTGGTGGGAACAAGGATTAGAGCCAGGGGTATTGCATCTCCTGCTTGCTCAGCTAGTTCTCTCCCTGCTGCATTCTTCTTCGCAGAGCCTGGGCTTTCTTCCACACCTTCTGCATTACCAGGGGCATAGCCCAACCAGTTTCATTTTTAGACTTAAAAAAAAAAAAAAATGACAGAGTGAGGACTTGGAAAGAAGCAGAATTTTTTAACTTTAAGTGACTGAACATGCAAATACGTTGCTCTTTGACTCTGCTTCTATGGATCCAGAGCAAAGGACTGCCTTACCCCGGGAGAAAGCCCAAATCCAACCGGCTGCTGCTGTCCAGCGCGGCTCCTCCCCACCCAGCAAGGGCACTTGCTCTTCCCTGTTCTCACCAGAGAGGCACAAGCGCTCCGGCCCTTCCAGCGGCAGGCAGCGGGAAGAGAAAGGGTCTGTTGTTTTTCTCTCCTTGTTTCTCTCTCCTCCACTGCTGATCACCAAGCTGCTGACCAGGTCAGAAAGCCCTAATGGAAATCCTCCAGTGCTGGCCACGTCCCTCCTCCTCCAGGCAACCTGTCCTTGACTAATTTTTCTTTGTCCCGAAGGGAAAAAAAGAGAGAGAGAAAGAAGGAAAAAGAAAAACCTTAAACTCCCTTTGAAAACCAGCTTGGAGTCAGGGCCTGGAGCGCACGCCCTAGACTCGGCGACTCAGGAATCGTGAAGACACGCTCTGAGCGAGCCGGGAGCACCTGAGCTGCGCCTCCCCCCCGCCCCCCGCCTGCCCTCGCCCTCCCCTGTCGCCCTGGGTCCCGGGCGTGAGTCCGGAAGTGGCCAGGACCCGACCAGGACCCGGCCAGGACCGCCGCTGGTAAACCTGTGAGAGCTCTGGCGTTGACAGCTGGAAGGCAGCTGGGACTGCGGCGGTGCCCCTCCTTGTACCCCGCCACCCTCACCCCACATCGAATTGCCGGAGCCGAACCTTCCTTCTCAGTCCTGGAACAACCTTCTTTAAGGTAAAAACTTTGTTTTATCATTTCCTTCACCTCCTCTCCTACCCCCAGTTCTTTTCCCTCTCTGTCTCTGGGGAGGTGACACTGAGTATCCTTCTACCTTTGGTCTCTACAGGTCTTGTCGGTGAGTGAAGTAAGGCAGGGGAATATGTAAAGGGGCTTGCTGCTTGGTTCCTTCATTTTCTTCTTTTAATGAAGCCTTCCCCCCTCCCTTACTAGCTAACACCGTAGTGGTGGTTGACTTATTCTGAGGGGAAAATTTAAACCATTAGTTGCTTGAAGATGTGGGTCAGACTGAGAAGGAGAATAGAGTGGGACAGTGAGGGACTTGCAGGGAGATGAGAGTTCATTGGATGGCGGGGGGGGGGGGGGGGGTGTCTTACTGAGTCTCCCTGTCCTTTTTATAGGCTTCTTCCAACTTTTGGCTACTTATTGCCACTGCTAGGGAGGAGCCAGGGCTATTTTAACTCCCTCACCCACAACCAGAAGGTAATTCGTGCTGGAGAGAACATGTAGGATTGAACTGAGGAAAAGAGTGGGATCCTGATTTGTCTGAGTACCCTCCCCTCAGCCTTTCCTGCTCTGAAATACCACATGCCCCACCCCACCAGGTCTGCACCTTATAGGGTGGAAATCCGCGATTCTCTTCCTGCCCCTTCTCTTAAGACATAGCCCGCTTAGCTTTGCCCAGTTTTTCTGAAACTCAGCTTCCTTCCACGTCCAGCTCCTGATTTATTCTGGCTCATCCCCCTAGATAAGTAGCTGCACAACCCCCACTTAATTATTGATCACTTCTAGCATTGGACAGAAAACATAGGAAATGAGCCCTGCTTTTTCTTCAAGCTTTTAAAACTTTCCCAGGCTCATCCTAAGTGTCATTTGGGAGGGGGAAAAAAGACGGAAAGAGAGAAAAACAAAGCGTCAGGCCTGTAGGCCATTTCTGCTACTCCAATTCTAAATTAACAACATGCAAATAACATGCAGCTAGCATAAATTATGTTTGAGTCAGGAGGATGATCAATTTGAGTGACTAGGCTTATTTCATTAACTTGTATGCTCCTCAACTTCACCTCCCAGGCATTAGCCTTGCCCTAAATTCCTGCAGGATTACAAGAAGAAAGCGTAGTCTCAAATTAGGAAGAAGCCAGAAGAAAGACAAAATTTCTGACAAGTTTAATTTCTCACCTTTTCTTACCAAGTCAGGGGTGATGGGAGTATGTTTTCCAGAGGGCAGATGTTTTTCAAAGGGCAGAGTTAGGGCTTTTTATGGTTTACTATTCACAGCATTAATTAAATGTCTATCCCTGCTGAACTTGATGTTTAGTGCCAATAGAGAGCAGGTTAAACAGGTCCAGTGTTCACATCTAAAATGACCTAGATGGGAATAGACAGACAGAACATACATACATATAATTGAATGTAGAGGGAGTATTTTTTGTGTAAATTGATAATCAGCACTTTTATATTCCATATACATAGTGGCAAGAAGAATATCTCTGAATTAAGGTAGTTTTTGGGAGCAAAGAGGAACTGAGGGGAAGTTGGCATCTCAACGCTAGAGTTGTCCAGAGAAACTTACTGGAAAAACTTCACTGGGGCAGTGGTTTTTGTGCTCCTAATCTGAAGTTATTTATTAGCACAATTTCTGATTCAGGTCCTTAGAGCCTACATTTTCTCTCTCTGGCCTACAGGAAGCCCCTCCCAAGACCTTTTTGTTGTGGTTTGAGATTGTGTAAAGTTCAGTGAAATCCTTTGAGAAGGACTTCTTTCTCAATAGTGTTTACTCTTTAGGGGCACGATACTGACTCGCTTTCTCTCTACCCTTCACCCCAAGCACTGTGTGACTGTTCATCTTTCAGCCCCTGCGATGAGGCAGAGAAAGGTAGCCCGAAGGGTACTAGCTGCCTGCGTGTGCTCAGCAGGATCCCTGAGCAGCCAAGGGGTGGGGCTTGTAGGGCAAGAGGAATTACCTCAGTGTTCGCTAAGGAGGGGGCTACTAGCGTGATGCCCTTTACAGGGCGAGCTAAAGAGTGCTGTGTTAATAACCGTTAGTGTCATTTTAACATTTCTTTCTCTATCTTTTTCCCTTTTGTCTTTCTCCTTTTATTCTCCCTTTCTCTGTCTTTTGTGCATTCCTTTCCTTATCTGTTTCAGGAAAGCTGACTTCACCCAATGTCTTCAATCCCACTGGAATCATCCCTCCCAAACCTGAAAGCCCTGTACACTCCTTGGTCCCATCTGGTCACAGCACGTTAAGGTGAAAGAGCCCAGCCGGGGCTGCTCTGCTGTTTACCTGAGCTGACAAAGACACTAATCTCCCTAGTCAGCAGTGGCAGCAGACGTTATCCAGCCTTCTACACCGCATTCCTTTTCTAAGACTTTTCTGGGCCTATTTGCTTTCCAGCCCAATGATTCCCTTCTTATTGGATGGTCTCCCTTTTATACATCAAGCCTAGATTTGGCAACTCCCTGAGGACTGGAAAGTCCTTTGGTGCCCCCCAGTTGACCTCTTCTGACCATGGAACACCATCAACCAGAGCGTCCAGTCTCTGTCAAGGCCAGGACTGCAGAAGCAGCCAGCCCTGAGCACCACGAGGTGCTATCAGGACCAGATGAGCACCCCCAGGACCAGGATGCTGGAGAGGCTGATGCCGTGGCTGGAGAGGCTGATGCCGTGGCCGGAGAGGCTGATACCGTGGCCGGAGAGGATGATGCTGTGGCCGGAGAGGCTGATCTGGCGGCCAGAGAGGCTGATGGGGCGGCCAGAGAGGCTGATAGGGCGGCCAGAGACGCTGATGGGGCAGCTACAGAACAGGAGCCAGAAGATCAAGGGTCACTGCCAGTCCAGGGCCAGGATAAACCCGAGTCTGCTCCACCTGCTGCTAGCTCAGACCTGCTGGGGCCCGCCCACGGGACACAGCCTGAAGTAGAGACAGTGGGGGCGTGCTCCAGGCCCCCGGAGCTTCCCCAGTCACCCAGAGCCCGACAGCCTGAGATCGATTTCTACTGTGTGAAGTGGATCCCCTGGAAGGGAGCACGGACTCCCATCATCACCCAGAGCACTAACGGCCCCTGCCCTCTGCTCGCCATCATGAACATCCTCTTTCTTCAGTGGAAGGTAAGAGAGAGTTCGGATGGGGGCTCAGAAAATGTGCGGGAGAGGACTCTTCCCTGACCTACCTCCTTCATCATCCTGATTTTCTTAAACCGTTCAAAATTTTCCAGATCATTCTCCCTGTTCTCCAGCTTGAACAAATGAGATAATATGATCATCAAAACAAAACAAACAGTTCTCTGTCTTACTCCTGTATCTTCTACTTTCTAGCAAATGGGAAGGCCTTGCAGTATTTCACATTCACTCCCTTGCTTGCCTTGCACGCCTCCTTTTTCCACCACCCCTACCGCTGGACAGCCCCGACCCTCCCCTGCCTGTCTGTGGGTTTCGCCCTCAGAGCTCTGTGAGGGGAAGCTGATCCTTTGATCACCCCTCTGCCAACAGGTGAAGCTGCCTCCTCAGAAGGAAGTGATCACATCAGATGAGCTCATGGCCCATCTTGGTGAGTGACTGGGCTCCGAAGAGGAATTATACACAGTTATAGGCACTATCCACCCAGGCAGAAATCTAGAATATGGAGGGACTTCCCATCTGGGGCTCTGGTGTGTCAGGGAAGGTGAAGGTCTTGGGAGCATCTCTGCAAGGCTGGGGCCTGAGAGGCAAAAGTCAAGGTGTCAGGAGTCCTAGGCTATAACCCCGATCTGTCCTCACCTTTTATATGTGAACTTGTGTGGGCCCTTCATCTTCGTGAGCCTGTTTCTTCCTCTGAGAAATGAAAGGTGAGGATTAGATTTTAAGGCCCTTTCCAGCTCTGCAAAGCTGTGGTTCCATGACATTCCCCCATCCGTTCTCCAGGAGAAGAGGAAGCAGCTTTTGGGACAATTGGTGGGGTAGAGTGATAAAGAACCCTGTCTTACAGGAGACTGCCTCCTGTCCATCAAGCCCCAGGAGAAGTCAGAGGGACTTCAGCTTAATTTTCAGCAGGTGAGCCAAAGGTCTGTGGACAACAGAGTTTGCAGGCTTAGTAGTCAGGGCAGCCAGACTACTAAGGGAAGCCTTTCTGCTTCTTCTTAGGAGGGTTCCTTGGTGCCCTGACCTTGGTAGCTCAGTGGGTTGGGCGTCATCCTGTAAACCAAAAGGTTACTGGTTCTATTCCCAGTCAGCGCACAAGCCTAGGTTGTGGGCCAGGTGCCCAGGTACCTGTTTGAGGGCATGTGAGAGGCAACCAATTGGTGTATCTCTTCCTCTCCCTCTCTCTAAAATAAATAAATAAAATCTTAAAAAAAGAAAAAAGACGGTTTCTTGAACCATGATTTCTTTCTTCAGGAGGAAGAGGAGGGTAAATCTCTGTCCTAGAAAATATGTTCATTTATATAAGATAAAGAAGGGTTGAGTCAGGGAGGCATGGCATGGGATGGCTAATAAGGGAGCCAGGGATGAAAAGCAACAAGATTAGTATTTTACTTCTTGGGGTGGAAGTGGGATGGGGGCAGGGCAAGCTAGATCATCATTTTCTTCTCTTCCCCCAGCTTCTTTGAGATATAATTGACATATAACATCGTGTAAGTTTAAGATATACAATGTGTTGACTTCCTATATCTGTTTTCTACCCCCAGAATGTGGACGATGCAATGACAGTGCTGCCTAAGCTGGCCACAGGCCTGGATGTCAACGTGCGATTCACAGGTGTCTCGGATTTTGAGTATACGCCTGAGTGCAGTATCTTCGACCTACTAGGGATACCTCTGTACCACGGCTGGCTTGTTGATCCACAGGTGAGGGCAAGAGGGCCCAGATGAGACTCTTATCCAGTTCAAGCTGACAGAGAAGCATAATTTTGTGGGGTAGGGGTTAGGGAGGTAGGGATTAGATTGGCTTGGGAAGAGAATCAGATATAGAGGCAGGACCCAATGGAGAATTCTTTAAATTAAAAAAAAATTTTTTTTGGTAACACTCAAATACAAGCAAACCATATGCAGTTCTTTAGACATCAAAAGTTTCAGGAACCTTTGGTCGTAGGCTTTCAGTCCTTGTGGGCTTTGTTCATCATTTCCTTCCTAAAAAGATCTCAATTTTTTTTGTACCACCCTATCCCACTGTGCATGCAGAGTCCTGAGGCTGTGAATGCAGTTGGGAAACTGAGTTACAATCAGCTGGTAGAGAAGATCATCACCTGCAAGCACTCCAGCGACACCAACCTCGTGACGGAAGGTGAGGCTCCACCCTTCTCTTCTGTGGGTCTTCTGTGGAGCGAATGACGGCTACGTAGGTTTATTGTTTATGGTCTGTCTCCCCCCACCACATCCCATGAGCATGTAAATGCCATGAGAGGGAGTTTGGGGAACTGTGTTAGTTCACTGATGTGCCCCCCCCCCCAGTGTTGTGCCTGGGACAAGGTGTTGCTCTGTAACTATTTGTTGAATGAATGAATAGAGCCAGGCTTCAGGGAAGGGATTTCATGAGGTGGGACCATCCCCAGCCCTTTTGACAGGGACTCTCTGGATGATCCTTCTCTGGATGGCTTTCCGATTTAAGCCAATGCCCCACCCCTGCTCTGTGCCCATTGGCAGGCCTGATTGCAGAACAGTTCCTGGAGACCACTGCGGCCCAGCTGACCTACCATGGACTGTGTGAGCTCACCACCGCTGCCAAGGAGGGTGAACTTAGCGTCTTTTTCAGAAACAACCACTTTAGCACTATGACTAAGCACAAGGTGATGAGGCATTGGAGGTGGGGGAAGGTTGGAGTGCTATTTATTTTCTTATAAATTCTTACACCTTTTTCTTCTGGGCCAGTGTTGCAGTCAGGACAGGGTAGATTAGGCTCTGGTAACAAATGACCCCTAAAATCCCTGTGTTTTACCATAAGATGTGTTTATTTCTCACTCACGCTGCATGTCCATTGCAGGCTGGCTGTAGTTCTGCCTCATATCAGCTTCATTCTGGGTCTAAGGCTGACAAAACAGCCTTTATCTGGAATATAGGAGGGACATCATGTACTCATGTTTAGTGCTTCTGCCTGAAATGACATGTGTCATTTACGTTAACATCTCATTGGCCAGAGCAAGCCATAAGGAAAAAGCCTGCCATCAATGGGACAGGAAAGTATAATCCTCTCCCAGGAAGGGAATTTTTTTTTAAAGATTTTTTTTTTTTATTTTTAGAGAGGGAGGGAGGGATAAAGAGAGGGAGAGAAACATTGATATGCAAGAGATACATAGGTTGGTTGCTTCTCGCATGTTCCCAACTGGGGTCCTGGCCTGCTACACACACATGTGCTCTGACTGGGAATCAAACCGGTGACCTTTCGGTTTGCAGGCCAGCACTCAATCCACTAAGCCACAAGAACCAGGGAAGAAGGGAATTTTTGAACAATGCTATAGTCTTCCCAAGTTAGAAATTAAGCTTTCTAGGAATTGGGTAGAAGAGGGAGAGGTCTTTGGTTCTCAAAGGATTTATCCTCATAAGCATCAGGCGAGCCCAGGGAACAATGGGAAGCGGGGTAGGAAGCAGGATCTCGTGGGGGACCCCAGCTCTGAGGACTCCATGCTTGACCACAGGACCACCATACTCTCATCCAGCCAACCATACACTCAGACATCCCTTCCTTCTCCCTTCAACCATGCATGTTCATAAAAGAACCACATGCTCACATGGACATGTTCCACAGAGCTAGAACACCAATTGGTTCAAATTGTCTCTGTGTATCTTGGATGATTTGGTTCAGTAAACTGCCTCCATGTCGCCTGTCCCACTCATTAGCGTGGTCCTCTTCCCTGCAGAGTCACCTGTACTTGCTGGTCACCGACCAGGGCTTTCTACAGGAGGAGCAAGTGGTGTGGGAGAGCCTGCACAGTGTGGATGGAGACAGCTGCTTCTGTGACTCTGACTTTCACCTAAGTCACTCCCTGGGCAAGGGCCCTGGAGCAGAAGGTGGGAGTGGCTCCCCAGAAAAGCAGCGACAGGTCGACCAGGTGTGTGGGACTTTTGGGAAGGGTGTAGGGAGCTTGTTCCCTTCAGGGACCTTTCTGCCATTGGCGAGATGCATGCGCTGTTATCATCCAGAGATCGTAACGTCGCACACCTGTGCCCCTTTCCTCTGTTACTTTGGGACCATGTCCACGTTCCGTGTGTAGTCTCTGTCACCACAGAGATATACTTGGCCGTGTGTGTTGCTCTGGAGGAGGAGGAACTGGAGAAACTGAAGGATGAAGAAAAACTGGTTTGGGAACCTAAACCCAGCCTGATATCCCCAAGGCCACAGCCTACCTCACAGCCCCTGTTCTTTCCCCCTCTAGGACTACCTGATCGCCTTGTCCCTGCAGCAGCAGCAGCAGCCACCGGGCACGCTGGGTCTTAGCGACTTGGAGCTGGCCCAGCAGCTTCAGCAAGAAGAGTACCAACAGCAGCAAGGGGCCCAGCCTGTGCCAGCAAGGGTGCCGTCGCCCCAGGTGAGCCTGCAGCTCCCTGCCCCAAGGGCCCGCTGCTCCCGCCTCCCCAGTGTTGCACCCCTGCTTCTCCTGCTCCAGAGGCTGGTTATTGTTATTCCTGTAATTGTCTCTTCAAGATTATCCTTGGGGCCCTTCTCTTGTCTGAGTCCCTTCCTATCTTTCTCTCCCCACTCCCCCGCCTACCCCCTGCCCCAATCTTGACCCCTCTTCCATGTAGAATCTCTGTCCTATGCTCTTTTCAAGAATGGTGGATGACCACTCTTTAAATCCCATACAGGGGAGAGGAGTCCCACCTGGACGCCCCGCCGGAGAGCGTCGGCGGAGGCCGAAGCAAGAGTCCGACTGTGTCCTCCTATAGCGCTGCCCTGTGCCAGGCTGCCCTGCCTCTTCTCAGAGGCTACTGCGATTTTGCTTGCTCCCCCAGGTCAACCCCTGAGATACACAGGGTAACTTATTTATGGACTGCTGGGGACCAGAGCAGGCAGTAAATGTCAAGGTCAGACTCAGTGACATCCTTGCCCTCAAGTGCTGCGGCTTCTCTTCCTCCCAGTCACCCAGGGCAACAGTGGGACTGGTGGGGTGAGGATTTCTGATTCCCAACTCCCTTTTCCCAGAATATCACACTAATATACAGACTCAGGCTCCAGGGGGAGGTCCCTGTCTAGAACGCATCTCCCCTACTTCCCACCCTGACTGACTGGGTCCTTCTGGCTATCCTGCAGGTCCGACTCCCTTTGTTTCAGGATTTGATTTGAATTTCTATCTCCATCATTTGTAATGTCTTCCTAAGGATTTGGAAATAAAACTTGTTTCCTGAGATCTGTTGTTTGTCCTTACCCTGTAGCAATGGGGTTAAGTGGTTAAGCATGCGACCCAGTTGAGGAATGCAAAAGGGGAGAGAGGGTAAAGACGCGTGGGGGTTGCCTGTCCTATCGAATAGAGCCAGCAGGGGGAACCAAAGCCTGCTTTTTCCATGTTTTTGTTTATGTTTTTGATAGGTCTTTGGGAAATAGTACTCTAATTGGGAGGTAGGTTTCCAAGTCTCTCTTTGGGCAGATGAAGTTGGGGGTTGTGCTCCCTGCTAGCCCAAGGCTTCCCAGGTAGGTAAGAGGCCGCTGGATCCTCTGCATGCCTCCCAGTTTATACAAATGGTCCTTTGCTACCTGAGACCATTTCTGGCCTTGTTCTGGTTCCTGTTTCTCAATTATTTTGCCTAAAATTTCCTGGGGAAGAGAGAATAATGGGGGGAAGGAACACCCCTAGGGGACAGGGGTTGTTGATAACTGCAGCACTACAGCCCAAAACAGGATTCCTGTCGAACAACCAAGTGCACATCAAGGTCTCCTCCCAACCCATGTCCTGCTCCACCCGAACTTCAATCACAGAACACAAACAAGAATGAAATCGGCTAAAAGTCTACCAATATCAGTGAGGTGCTCTGCCCTGCACGTGGGACGGATGAGGCGGGGCAGAAACCATTGCGGGGGCTCCCATTAACCCACATCCAGGACAGAGCTGGGCGAGTCAGGTACAGGGGTTGAAGGGACAAAGCCAGCCCCATTTGCTATCGTGGCACCATTTGCCTAGCAGGCCTATGACCCTGTAAACCATGACTGCCATTTTACTCTCCTGAGCCTGTCCCCAGGACTGGAAATTTCGGGAAGCAAGATCCCTATAGCCCCAGACAGAAGATAGCGTTGGAACAAACCGCAGCCTGGTGTTACAGCTGCGCAACAGCCCAGAGGCCTGCCCTCCACCCTTCTTCAATGCACTTATAATCCAATAAAAGCTCAGGACTGGGGTATCTCTCCACACCATGCCCTTCCCCTTTCTTGGAGAGTGAATAAAAATTTTATTCTCTACACTTTCTTTTCTTTGTGATTTCCTTCACAGCCCATACTATGGACCACCTGAGCAGGTATCACTTTGAGGTGAGGGGAATTAAGGGATTTAAAAGAAAACTTTGAGTTCCAGTCTCAACAAGAAGCTGGAACATGAGATGCAATCCTATTTGGTGGCCCAGCGGGTCTCCTGCAGGCGCAGCCAAACATGGGAATCTCAGACCCTTGGATGTCACATGGCGAAGTGGTCTCAAAGGTCCTCAGCCCTGCAGAGGGCTAGTAGGGCCAGGCGGCAGTCCCCTTTCAGCGCATCCTGCAGACAAGGGAATCAAGTGTTAGAAGGACCCACTGCCTCTGTAGCCCAGGCCCTCTGCCCCTTCCCTCGTGCTGACCCAGAGCTTGCCTGGTGCCTGGAGTCTTACACTAAATTAACCAAAGACTCATGAATATCCAGGACATCTGCTCAGCTGTGTGCAGGGAGTGCAGTGGGGAGGTGAAGGGTGAAGCTCTCACCTGGAGGGAAGAGTAAAGGGACTTCCCAAATTTCTTTTTGAACTCAGCTCGGATGCTTAGAAGGTCAGTCTCACATCTAGAGATAAGGATGCGCATCAGGACTTGGTAATTGGGCTCAGTTTCCTGGTAGGAGAAGAAACAGAATGGGGTGGGCAGCAGTAAGATTCTCACAGATTCTAGAAAGTGGAGGTGGGGTGAGAGTCAAGGGGAGAGAGAAGTATACACCATCTAGGGGAAAAGTTAGCTTGGTGTATCCTCATGGAAGATGAAGCAGCAGGAAAGACCAGGCCCTGGAGAAGCTGGAATTCTATTCTTTCCGTCCACTTGTCTTTCCTGGCCCTGCCAGTAACTTAGAGCTTCAGTCCTCCAGAGCTCGGTTGTGGGCAGCTCCAAAGGCGGGTACTCAAAACACAGAAAAGACTTGCTACCTGTAAAGACTTCCCTCGTCTTTTAGCCAGGAAAGCCAGGAAGACTGTTTTTAACTTCCAAGTTAGTAAATGTCCAAGAGGATACACCACCCTGCTCCTAAACCGAGTTGATCGGCTTCTCACAGGGGGCAGAGTCATGTGACTTCTGGTTCTCATCTGGCCCCACCAGGGCATCTCCTCTTTACACAGCAGTTTCCTGCAGTTGGACCCCTGGGGTTCAACATCACTGTCTTCTTCCTATACCTGCACCAGCCTCTTGCCTTTCGGTTAAAGAAGGTAACGGAGGGCTCAGTTTAGAAATAATGGAGGTACAAAACACGATCAAGTCATGAATTACAATTGATTACAATAAATGTGTCACCATGAGAGATTGCTAAATAAAAGCTTTTGGTTGCAAAAAACCCTGTTTGTGCCATCAGCTGTGCACTGGCCCTGCCACCATTTCCCAACATCCTCTTTTTTAGTGTTTGCTCAGTCACTTGACTCACGTGACCCTTCCCAAAAGTGCCTGCAACCCACAGTCATGACATTTCCACAGTTCATTCCCAGGAAGAAACAAAATAAAATGAAGGGCCCTGGCCAGGTGGTTCAGTTGGATGGAGCAACATCCCATACACCAAAACGTTGTGGGTTCGATCCCCGGTCAGGTCAGGGTGTATACTGGAGGCAACTGATCGGTGTCTCTCTTACATCAATGCTTCTCTCCCCACCCCCCACCAATAAACATCCTCATGTGAGGATTAAACAGAAAAGAAAATGATGAAGTAAAAAGAGGCTGCTATGTTTCATTTGGATTCATTACCTAATTGTCAGTGTGCCTGATGGGTACTTGTTTTTTTAAATCCTCACCAGAGAACATGCTTATTGATTTTAGAAAGGGGAAGGGAAGGAGATGGAGAGGGAGAGAAACGTCGATCACTTGCCTCTCGTACGTGTTCCAGCAGGGTCCAAACCCACAACCCAGGCATGTGACCTGACCAGGAATCAAACCCATGATGTTTTGGTCTAGGGACAACGCTCCAACAAATTGAGCCACACCAGCCTGGGCTGATGGCTACTTTATTTTACATTTCATTTATCATCAGTTCTGTACTGTGATGATGATTGCCTTTTGCTCCCTGGTATCCATTCTTCCCTTCTCCCAACTCTTGTGACTCCAAAGTTGTGGAATTGGGGCAAAAGTCACTTATTAACTGAATATTCCCACTGGTATACAACTATCTTCCGTACTACACCTATATTAAACATAAACCTAGTCTTTGTATTTGAGAATGTACTTGGCATCTGAGTGGCAAACTTTTGTTTAGGACTTTCTGCTTTTTAAAAAAATTTCAGAAAAGTAGGCCTATCTTATTCTTTGAGTCCCACTTCTAAGATAAGTCTGGCATTTATATTCAAGAAAGTGGGTCCTGTAATCTAAATACATACATTATAATTATTTACTGCTGGGATACAAGTTTGTTTTACAACAGCAAATTAGATAACCACAACTCTTCAAATGACTCTTAGTGTCGACTCACTGTAATAGTACAGGCTTTATTGGGTAAGTATAATAAGCACTATGAGAATGGAAATCTCTAAATGATAAAACAAGGCCTTATATGTACTGTCTTTGGTTGGCTCTTTGTCTTTTGTTTTTTTGGTACTGCCTTCTGAATAGCTGTCAATGAGGCATGATGGTTTCTCAACTGGTACACAAAAAGCTATTCCATTTTTATATTCTTCAAATTTTAGGGGATTTTTTTATTTATAGCTTTTGGGGGACAGTTGTACTACTATGAAATCTGCCTCAATGAGCAAAATGACTGGATTCTGCTTATGAAGTTACTCAAACTAAAGTGACCAACTTAATTATGAATCATATGGGACCAAGTCTGACCAGTGCGGAGATAGGTAGCCCTGGGTGCTAAGAACACCTATGGTGTTGTTCACAGTACAGGCATACCTTGGAGGTGCTGCAGGTTTGATTCCACACCATTATCATTAAGCGAATATCACAATAAAGTGAGTCACACAAGTTTTTTTGGTTTCCCAGTTCACAGTAAAACTATGTTTACACTATGCTGTAGCCTGTTAAGTGTGCAACAGCATTATGTCTGATGAAACAATGTATATACCTTAATTTTAAAATACTTTATTGCTTAAAGATGCTAACCATCATCTAAGCCTTTAGTGAGTTCTACTCTTTTTGCTGGTGGAGAGTCTCACCTTCAATTTGCAAAAAAACTTAGCCTCTTACAAGCACGATAAAACGAGGTAGGACTGTATAGACCAACACCTGTGGCAGAGACCAGCAGCCGACATGCGGCAGTTCACTGTCCTATAGGACCATTACGTGCTTTGTAGGGAGAATATATACCTTAATAGCTATGCGACCTTGGACAAGGTACTTAACCTCTCTGTGCTTCAGCTTTTCATCTATAAAGCAGGGATTCACTGAAGTGTGTGCAATGTTTTCAGCATAGTTCCTGGCACACAATGAGCGCCTGAGAAATGCTGGTTCTTGTCATTCTTCTTGCTGGTTTATCACCATCACCATCTGGCAACAACTGAAACTGGACAAAACATTGCCTTCCAGAGCAAATGCATATCTGTGTTTGGCTACCTAGACATTAATCAGGTCAGTGTTTTAGCTTGAGTGCCCTTTAGGGTCAACTGTTAGCTTACTCCTCTAACCACAGCCCGCTCCTCTACTCTTGACCAGATAGTTTATAGACCTAAGAAGAGAGCTTGTTCCTAACGGAGGAGGGAAAAGGAGTGTCCTTCTCACCTGGAGGGCTTGATGAAGTTTATCGGCAAAGTACAGTGCTGTGTTCCTGATCACCGAGGCTGGAAGCAAAGAGGGAGAGATGGAGAGGTAGCTCCCTTCCCAGGGAGACCCCTACCCACGGGTCCTGAGCAGGCCCCTACCGAGGCTGAGCAGAGCCATCTGGGCGTCTCCATGGAAATGGTTCCGGACAGTGTGCTCCAGTTCACGCCCCGTGCACCGCTGGTACTGATCGAACACTTGTGGTATGTGAGGGAGGGAGTTAGAAAGATACATGCGGGGCAGGGGGTGATTATCACAGAGAAGGATGAGCCCTCCCCATCTTCCACAGCCGAAACTCATCCTGAGAGCAAGCAAGGGAGACAAGAGGGCTCACGTGTACCTCGGACAAGGTGTTCAGGATTTCGCTGAGTGAGGATGAGGACCCACGTCCCCTCTGTACCAGGTCCCTCGGCCTGCTTCAGTGCCTGGTAGGGGGACGTAAGTCAGGATCATTGATGGGGGGCTGGGGAGCCATGGTTATGATGTTCCCAGAATCCATCACAATGATGGTGGAAATGGGATTAAGGGTGGAAAAGTTACTTTAACCTGTATATTAGTTGCTTTTATTTATGGTTAAAAGGAGAGAGAACAGGACTACAAGAGGGGCTCTGCCCTCTCAGCTTGCAAACTCCGATTTTGGGAGATCCTGGCACTCAAGGAATTAAATAACCACCAAGGGAGAGTCTGGGAAGGGTCCTCCACCCAAATGCCCATAAGAGTTGACAGCTCACTTCCTGTGGGTTCAGGAGCCAGAGGTTAGATGAGTGAAAAGGCTTCAGAGGTAGCACTGCCTGATGTCCCATGCCCCCACCATGCCCCTGAGGACTCCTTCCCCAAGGCAAGGACAGGTTTGTAGGACAAGTGCGTACATGGATCGCTGGCTCTAAGATATAGTAAAGGAGGTGTTTTACGTGCATGACTGCGCAGACTCCTCAGCCCCTGCTCACCTGGACATCCTGTTCTGCTAGGTTATAGTCAATGATTTCAGAGTAGCTCTCACGCGCCCCCTAGGAGGAGAAGCTCTCTCAGGAGGGTCTTAGAGGGGTAGCTTTTTCTCTCCAGGCCAAAAAAGCAAACCTGGTCCCCGACAACGCCCCCTCCTGTCCATTACATCAAAACAATGTTTCCTTCTCTGTCCCACACCCTTCCCAGATGGTGTAACTCCCTTCTGCAAGTCAGTCCTCCTTACCTTGGCCAGGGCCAGGAGCAGGTCCTGCAAGGTGCCACGAGTCTCAGATTTGATGTCCTCCTCAGCCTCTACCTGGAAATCTGGGGTGGGGTCAGAAGCTCTCTGAATCCTCCTGATTTTCCTCAAGGTGGATGCCTCCAGGACCTATCCAATGTCTGGCCCACTGTGCCCTGCCAAGCCTGCCGACCCTGCTTGCAGTAGCTGCTAGTCCCAGGGTGGAGGGCGGGAGCACCGTCACAGCCACCCTGAGAGCGTCCCGAAGTGGTGAGGACCCCACATGCTGTGGGATCACGCGTTGTGGTGTGGTCTCATTTACAGGCGCCAGCGAGCCGCGGGCAGGAGGCCGCTGCTGTGCCCGTGGGGGCCCAGCAGTGAGGGGGGCGGGAAAACCCATGCGGTGAGGCAAGGTGGCGAGGAGGTGTGATGGGAGAGGTGGGTGTTTCAAAAGGAAAAGAGGAGGAAAGGGCGAGAAGGAATAGAAAAGAGAAAAAGAGAAGCGCCGAGGGAGAGAGGTAGGAGAAGGATTAAGAGATAGGCCAAGAAGGGACATCAAAGGAATCCTGGGGTAGGAAATAAAGGGGGTTGGGGCTGAGAGGAGGATGAGAAAAAGCTCGTTCCCAATTAGTAGGTGAGGCCTGTGGCAGCCAGGAGCCTGAGAAGTGACACCCATGACTCAGAGAACAGGTCCCCACCTTGCCCCCTGGCTGCAGCAAGGTTCAGTTGGGCCTGGGGTGTGGCGCCATGGCAGAGTCAGCACGGGGCTGAGAAGGGGACACGGGTACCCTTGGGACTGTCATGGTGCCCAGCACTGTCATTACCTTGGACTCTGCCTTGGAGCCCCAGACTAAGATAGTTAATCATCGCTTCTTTTTCTAATGATCATATCTGTCTGTCTCCCCGAAGAGCCTGACACGGGGTGGGGAGGAGGGAGGAGAGAGCCCCAGGCAGCAGAACTTGGGCAGACAGGCTCCCGGAGGGCTCGCCCGGACCAAGTGCCAGGGAGCCGGGGCCTGTCCCTCAGATCTCTTTCCAGCTCCTGCCGCCCCGCTGTCCCGTTCCTACCGTGTCTGTAGACTGCCAGGCACTCCTGCAGCTGCGGTGGGGTGCGGGTGGCAAGGATTTCCACAACCACTTCCTTGGCAGAACCTGAGTCCTGCAAGAAATTGGGAGACCACTCCGAGACTGGGCCATGCTATTATGATGGCAGAGAGCAGATGCTGACTACGTGTCCTTCTAAGGGTCACTACGAGACAGTCAACGGGGGCCTCTGCCGAGTCCCCTCTCCGCAGCGGGCAAAGCCAAATCACTCAGCCTTCTCCTCCCCCAGTGGGGACTGCACTTCCCAGACACCACATCGAGCCTCCTGTCCTTGTACCTTCAAGGCTGTCCTCAGCTCCTGGGCGTCCAAATGGGCTGCCGGCCGCAGCAGAGCCACCACGATCCTCTCGAGGTTGCCGGATAGCGCGGCCTGCAGGGACTTGAGCAGGTCCTACAGGCGGTGCCCGCGGCAGAGGAGGGGCATGAGGGGCAGGCCCGAGGCGTGTAGGGAGGTCTGGGAGCATTTGGCTGGTTTTCATCTCAGGCCTGAAGCTCCTCCCCCATTTACATTTAACCAGGGGTCAGGGGCCACCTGCTCTCGCCTAGCCCCAAGCTTCCGGGGACTTCCACCCCAGGTCACTGCTCCCAGGAATCCTAGCTCCTAGCAGGCTCACCTGCTGGGTGCGCTCCTGGAAGGCTCGTGAGATGAGCTGCCTCTGCTCTCTGCTTCGGTTGGTCAGCACGTCCGCAATGGCGGTGCGGTCCACGCCTGAACCAAGACGAGGGCTGGGCTGTATGCTGGGCAGATCCCAGTCAGGGTCTTTACAGGGTTGGGATACCCTTGCTCCTCAGACTTGAAGCCTCCAGAGGAGCAGAGAACAAGATCCCTGAAAGAGCTGAAAGGACAGGAGCAGGGGTCCTATCACCCTACTTCCATTTCATCTCAAAAGAAGTTGCAGATAAGATGCCAAAATAGCATGCACATCCTACCCAGATTTAGGCCAAGGTGGCCTGTGTGGTGGGGGAAAAAGGGCTTTTGGGCATCAGCAGACTTGGATTGGGATTGAAGCTCTGGCATTTTGGGCTGTGTGGCCTTGGGTAAGCCTCTTCACTCCCTGAGCCCGTTTCCTCATCCGCACGGTGGAAATAAGAAGACTTAGCTCACAGGGTGTTGCGATATTGGCTGTGACACACATACCATGGTACTCGACATACAGGACTTAAGGCGTTCCTGAGACATTTACTGAGATCGTCAGTTCCTCCCTCCAGGCTCTTTCCTGGTTTACAGGCTGGCTCCCAAAAGCTAGACCCCCTGCAAGTGCAGAGGCAAGGGGCTCACCCTGGCCTGCGATGGCCATCAGTAGCTTCTGCACGTCCTTGTCCACACTGAAGCTCAGGAAGGTCCTGAGGGTGCCCAGGGTCCCCCATGCTGCGGTCTGTGAAAGCAAGGAGGCATCACAGTTCTGCCCAGCGTGGCCACGGGCACGGCCTCAGGGCCTGCTTGTTTCCTGGTTCCCAGGCCCCTCACACCCCGAGTTGATAGAATGACTCCTACAGCGCCGGCAGCCCTACCTTTTTGGCAAGGCCCAGGTGGCTGAGGATCTCCTGGGTCAGGGAGAGCCCCGTCTTCCCACTGGTCACAGACATGGCACAGCTGGCTGCCCTGGGGAGGGAAACAGCAGCCAACTGAGGGAAATTTCCAGCCCTTCTGGGCCTCTTTATGACCTCTGGGCCCCGAAACCTGGGCTTCTATTGCCTGCTCATTTCCCTTGTTGTACCAAAAGAGGACCTTAACCTGCTTGGCAGGTTTGGGAACCCAGGTGGAGGGGAGAGAGGGGAGTCCCCACCTTCCCCACCTCTCACCTTCCTTCACCAGACGAGGTCTGAGCAGGGATGCTGCCAAAACTGGCACCAAACAAACCCTCCCTGACTCCAGGGCTGGTCCCTCAGCTCCCAGCCCTTGGCTGAAATGGATGACCCCCTTCCAAGGTCCAAGTCCCCCTGCTTCTACGGCCTGGCTGGGCTGGTGAGGCAAGCTGGTGGTAACAAGTATGTGGGGAGGGAGCTAACTCCTAACAGCACCGCCCCTGTTCCAGCGCTAGCCCTCCGAGCTGCCTGCCTGCTGCCTGCCTCTCACCCTTGGAGTCTCTAGCTGGGTTTCTAAGTCAGCAAGTGGAATTTTTGAGCTGATATGAGTTTGTGCTCTTGTGGGTACATGGGTGCCTGGACAAGGGAGCAGGTACTCACATTGGAAAGAAAAACTCCTTTCTCCCTCTCCCCAGTGATCCACAAGCTCCCTCCCCCCGAGCCTGGGGGCCCAGGTCCAGTGCTTACCCAGAGTGCTGGGGGTGAGGTGGGTGTTGTCACAGCTTGGTGGCGTGCCTGTGTGGGTACTAGCTCCTGTGTGGCCTGGTAGAGGTGGGGGGGGGCGTGTGCAGCCCAGGTGGAGCAGCCAGTCAGATGACCTCTCTAGCAGACCAGCCCAGCTGTTTTCTGGAGCTCTGGCCCCTCCCAAACGTGGGAGAGGACCAGGCTGTACCGGGTCCCACAAGCAAACACCTCCCTACCTCACATCTCTCCTCCCAGGAACTGGGCCTCAGCCCACGCGTGAGAACTCTGCTCGGCCTCTCAGTAGCTCAGCCCCGGACACAGGAGGCTTTGTGCACTGCTTTCCCAGTGGGGCCAGGTGGGACCATAGAAGTCCAGTCTCTATGTCCAGCTTCTGACCTGGCCCTGCCTCTGGCTCCCGCTCCCTGGGGGGCAGGTCAGACAGGCTCCAGGCTGATTTCAGGCTGATAGAGAAAAACCTGTTGGGGCACATACCAGAAGGGCACCCCAGCCTGCACCCCAGATGGGGTCCCAGCCTCGAAACTCCCTTGACTACTGCCTTATTTGAGTCAGCCAGCTGGGGTGGGGAGGCCCAAGGGACTGTTTCTGTCTGTGGAGAAGGAAGGGCACAGGTATTTGGGGGTGGGAGCAGGTCAGCAGAGTCAAGAGAGAAGAATGCAAAGGGTGTTCTTTCTGGATAGAAGTACCATGCTCGCAAAAGGCAACAGGGAGATGGGGGAGGCTCCCCTGGCTCCATTTCTTAGGTTCCTTCTATTGCCTCTTGGCTCCCAGGGCTCTTTTAGCAGCTGGTGATGCAAGCCCAGCAGCTGGGCTTGGGGCTGGCAGTGCGCACAGCAGCAGGTGAACAGTCTTGAGGAGCCTCAGGGGCCCCTGAGCAGGCAGGCAGTTACTCAGACCTCGCAGCCAGCTCCCTGGGGCCTGGGAGCAGTCTCCTTCCTGCCTCCCTAGTGGGGTCAAGTGGGGGCCGGGCCCAGAAGCTGGAGAGCTGCCTCCATTCCTCTGCCACTGTCCCAACGCAGGAAGTCCCTCCCAGTTTTTTGGGGTTTTTTTTTTTTTTTTTTTTTTTTTTTAACATGAGGAGGTATCTGCAACTCTCCCACAGAGGAGAACAGGGCTAAGGAGATGCCAGGAAAGGGGATTTTCATGTAGCAAACACTGCTCCTCACTCTCCTCTCCAGTTAAAGTGGAAAACATGCGCTGGTTTTTGCTGGAGGACATGGGTTCAGGCCCTAGCTCTGCCACTTGTTATGTTCTGTAACCACAGCTAGTCATTTCAGGTCTGTGTCTGTTTATTTATCCCCCCCCCCCCAAAAAGGCGGGGGAGAATATTGGGAAAGGCTGGCAGGGGGCACCTGAGGACAGGCTTTCTGGAAGGATGAAATGAGGTGGTACATGTGAGGGCATCTGACAGAGAAAAGTGCCTGGTAAATTAGGGTTGCCAGATTTAGTAAATAAAAATATAAGACACCTGGTTAAGTTAGAATTTCAGACAAACAACAAATAATTTGGTGGTATTGTTACCGAACAAAAGGACCCATGGTGGGGGGGGGGTGCCCAGATGCTATTACCAAAACAGCGACACCCTCCTTCCCCGGGACCCCTCGGTTGTGGGTCCTTTGCCCGCCACCCTTGGAATTATGGCTCTGAATGGCAGAGTTTGGTGAAAAGGAAAGGAACTATTTATTCAAAAGTTATACAGGTTTGATTAATGGCTAAATGTCACCCTTAAACCTCAAAATCCCTTCAAAACCACCACCAGCACACACACCGTCCTGCCTTCCCCCTTTGCCCAGTTAGACCAGCCAGGCCAGTCAGGGTACCGTCCTTCAGAAGAAAAAGAACAGAAGTCTGGGGCTCGGCTAGGGTCCATTTGGGGGGGCCCTGGCTGTGCCCCGTTACAGTATTAAGTATAACCCAAATATTTCACGGGATATACTTACACTAACAAATTATTTGTTGTTTGTCTGAAAATGTAATTTAAGTGAACATCCTGTATTTTACCTGGCAACCTGAAAAATGGGACTTATTTCAGAATGGTTAAAGCAGAGGGCCTGAAGCCAAACTCCTTAGATTCAGAATTCCGTTCTGTTCTGTGCCTGTGGCAATTACCTCAACCAATCTGCGCTTGCTTTTCTCATTGTCAAGACAGAGATAATAATAGTGATCATATTATAGGTGAATATGTGAATTAAATAACTTAATACATGTAAAGCATTTTAGAAGAGTACTAGGAACAGAGTGGTAAGTACACATGTCAAAATTTTAATATGCAATAATAAGTATTGCTATAATGTTATTTTATAACGATAACTGTTCTTACTAACTTGGCTCCCTAGCAAGGCCAGTCCTGGCTCTCTTCTCCAGCTTCTTTCCTGTCATTCCCCAATTTGGCCACAAGAGGGTATCAGCAGCCACCGAGAACCGAGAGCCCCCTAGTGGCTGCTTGAAGTCTCGGAGGCTCAGTTTCCGCTATCATCCTGTTTTTTCCCTTGTTGGGAAATGCAGTCTCCTGAAGACCTCAGGTTCCTGAATGTACTTGGTGGGCAGTCCAGGTCAGGGCAAGAGCCTCAGGTAGGCATCTGCTCAAGGGCGCCCACTGAGACAGACCTAGGCTGGGTTGCCACAATATAGTGGCTCCACAGCCAAGGTCCCTATGCCTTCTGCTTTCTGTACCCTTCAGAGTCTATTCTGGGAACATATCCCAAGTAGGCTTATGGGAGAATGAAGGGAGAGAGAGAGTTCCTGTTTCCCCAATCCAAACCTCTACACAAGACTCCTGGCTGATCTTCAAGGCTGAACTCCGAATTTGGAGAAGGCAGGCAGAACCCCGGTCATGTGGCAGAAACATATAGTCCTAGTTGCCTGGGAGTGATGTTACAATTGCTCCACTGAAACTTGGTATCACTTCTTTTGTCTCTTGGTTTTGCTTTGTTCAACTCCAGGGCCAGATTGAGGTTATTTTCAAGTTTACTAATCACCCTCTACCCCCATTCTTTAATTTTTAGAGTTTCAGAGTTGGAGATCTTAGAGGTGACCTGGTCTACCACTCTCTCGTTACTGACTCAAGGTAGCTGAATGTCTTCTCAAGGCCATGGTGTTGGAACCAGAATCTAGGTCTCCTCATTTCTTCTCAGTGTTTTCTTTATCCCTCAGAGCAAGGCATGGCTGATTTGGGGTCCCTCTTAGTGGAATTTAGAGGGACAAACAGTAACATATAGAGCCTCAACTGTTGACTTACGGCACCTCCGGCTCATAACTCCACCTTGCTTTTCTGCAAATACAGTCATGTGTTGCTTAACGAGGGGATAAATTCTGAGAAATGCATGGTTAGGCGATTTCATCGTTTTGTAAACATCGCTGAGTGCACTTACACAAACCTAGATGGTATAGACCACCACACACTTGGGCTCTATGGGTTAGCCTATTTCTTCTAGGCTACAAGCCTGTATACAAACCAGGCACTTGTTACTCAATAGTATTTGGGTATCTAAACACAGAAAAGGTATAGTATAAATGCAGTATAACAAAAAATTGTACACCTGTATAGGGCACTTAGCATAAATGGAGCTTGCAGGACTGGAAGTTGCTCTAGGTGATTGAGTGAGTGGTGAGCGAATGTGAAGACCTAGGACATTACTGTACACTACTGTGGACTTTATAAACACTGTGCACTCAGGCTACAAAATGTATTTAAAAGTTTTCTTTCTTCAATAATAAATTAACTATAACGTACCGTTTTTTACTTTATAAGCTTTTAATTTTTAAAAACTTTTTGACTCTTGTAATAACACTTAAAACACAAATACATTGTCTTGTAATAACACTTAAAACACAAATACATTGTATAGCTAGCTGTACAAAAATATTTTTTCTTTACGTCCTTATTCTATAAGATTTTTTAAAGGTTTTATTTATTTATTTTTAGGGGGGGGGTGGGAGAGGGAGAAAGAGGAAACATCAATGTGTAGTTGCCTCCTGTGCGCCCGGACACTGGAGACCTCTCCTGCAACCCAGGAGTGTGCCCTGACTAGGAATTGAACCAGCGACCCTTGGTTTGCAAGGGGCACTTGATCTACTGAGCCACATCAGCCAGGGGCAGATTTTTCTATTTAAATTTTTTTAAAATTTATTTATTTTTAGGGAGAGTGGAAGAGAGGGAGAGAAACACCCATGTGTGAGAGAAATATAGATTGGTTGCCTCTCACAAGCCTCCAGCTGGGGACCTGGCTTGCAACCCAGGTGTGTCCCTGGCTGGGAATTGAAATGGTGACCTTTCAGTTTGAAGGCTGGCACTCAATCCACTGAGCCACACCAGCGAGGGCCTAAAAATTTTTGTTTTAATTTTTAAAAAATCTTTTTTGTTAAAACCTAAGACATAAACACATACATTAGCGTAGGCCTACACAGGTCAGGGTCATTAATATCACTGTCTCCCCCTCCACACCTTGCCCTACTGGCAGTTCTCGAGGGGTAAGAACAGGTACAAAGGTGTCATCTCCAATGCGAACAATGCTTGCTTCTGGAATACCTACCTGAGGATCTGCTTGAGGAGTCTGCACTCTTCAGAAATATCTCCATGGTGGTGTGCTTGTTTTTTGTTGTTGTTTTTTTTTTTTTAATTTCATCGTAGATTTATTTGTAAGCAGATGTTTAAAAAGAAAAAACAGGCTAAAATGGAGTCATTTTTGATAAGCTACATCACCAAAACAAAACTTAATAATTAACCTAATTGCAGTTGCAGCTTCTCCCAGGGGGGGAATTTTAAATAAATCAGTCTGGAATTTCCCAATCAACTTTAGTGAAGTAATCTGCCTTATAAGACCCCTACTAACCTGACTGGTGTGGCTCAGTGGGTCATAAGTTGGGCAACTCCTGCAAACTGAAAGGTCCTGGTCCCAGGTGGGGCTGTGGGAGAGATAACCAATTGATGTTTCCTGATTCATGAGATTTATTAATTTCTTAATAAATCCAATTAGATCTTCAAATTTACTCAGTTGAATTTTTTTAACACAGATAATGTACCATGAAGG